TAGCGCACGCTCATCGTCCGGCGTACCGAAGTATCCCGGCTTGGTCCAACCCAGGTCGACCATCTTCGTCACGAATGAACCCTGCCGAAGCACAGCACCTACCAGATCGACAGAGAAGGGCCGCTGGTCGTTGTATGCCATCAGGACCCTCGACATCATACGGGCTCGCGCCTTATATACCGGCGTTACTTGTAACTTCGACCAATGCCAATCAAGCTCGTTCCCGATAGCGTGACTCAAGCTAGAGCCCAAGCCAGAGCGGGCTTTGGCTCGTTTGTGGATGGTCGGCAAAGCCTCGAGAAAAGCATCCTTTACGATCTTCGCTCGAGCAAGGTCAAGCTCTTTTCTCGGCGTCCTGAGGGTATTTCTGATGCAGGACAAGTGTCAGAGAAACTTCGTATGAGGTCAGTATAGACGTGATACGCACGCAAGGAAGGGGGCGGGATCTGCTGACTTCTCTGCTCGTGTATGGTCACTCGCGAGATCTTTGCTGAAACGGGCGACAGCCAGGCCTTCGCGTGTGATGATGAATCTATCATGAACGCAACGCATACAAAACTGTTGTTGGGCGAAGCCGGATCCATCAGCGGTGATGTATGCTGCACGCCGCAGAATGAGACCCAGTCTAGGTATGATGGGGAGAGGACGTACGTGCTTCATTCACTTGATGACACTTGGGACACTCAAGAGTTTGGGTGACAAGGACAGCGGAGCACTCGATCGGGTCAAAAGGTAGACCAGTGCGCCGTTGCCAGTTCTCCTTCCGTTCGATCGATACGTGCTGGGATATGTTGGCCAGGTGACCAAGTTGCTCCTTACAAATGATGAGTTATTGGCATGTGGCATTCATGATGGATCTTACGAGAGAGGAGAAGAAGGCATTTGGAGAGTGAACATGTAGACTACCGAGAGTAGCCAGACGGGGGACACGTCCTGTGTCCTCAGCGTAGCATCTATGCAAGGTGGTAGGTCCATTCAGCAGTGACGCGTGCGTGGTCAGAGTGAGACTTACCGTGGGTTGAGTAGATACGCGTGCCAGACCATCCAAACATCGAGAGGCGGTGCATCGTTCACGTCCCAGAGATGGGAGCTTACGCTCGCGCTCACGGCGCGCGGCATATCCCTGGTCCACCTCTCGAACCTCAGATGCACTCGTCAGCAGCGAGTCACACCAAGAAGCAAGCGTGCTGAGACTCACCTTTCAACGGCGAGATGAACAAACCAAGTCCACCGACGCTCAGCACTGAGCTGCCTGACATCCGGCAGAAAGTAGTCCGCCGCGGCGCCGGTCTGGTTCTCTACTGCCGTCCGAAGTTCACTAAATGCATGCAGAAGACCCAGGTGCAACTTCAGATCCTTGATCTGAATGAGAGGGGTCTCCAGCTTATGCGTGCCGACATGGATATTTGTGAGAGGTTGATACGCAGGTAGGTCTTCAGATAGCGCGTTTGCATCATACGCAGGAGGTTGGGTCATGTTGTGCTCGGGGTATCGTAGAGTGTAGTGATTCACTATGAGAATCGTCAGCTCAGAGCATATATACCCGCACGTATACGTACCCTCCATTGCTCCACCCCTCCATTCAATCAGTCCTGGCTGTCCAGCACGGGATACATGGGCTATCCGCCTTGGAGTTGCGGCCGTAGACCGATTTCCAAGTACGGCGACCGGGCGACCCCCGTCACCACCGGGTACGAGACAGGTCTCGTTCACACACTGTGAGGAGTATCGAATGAGGCAGTTCACATATCATTGAGGGACATGGTAGTCGTGGCAGCGGGAGAGCAGTGGACGACGTCACTGCGCGCGCTTGTCAACTCTCACACGAGCGCCCATCATGCATCAGGACTCGGGTACTCTGTCGGCTTATATTTTTCATAGATCGAATACTTTACTTCGGGATGCTATGGCGATGGTTCTCGACACACAACGACGCAAGCGTGCATCGTCGGACGACACGAAGGCACCACTCAATGACCAATTCGCGAAGAACCCCCACGGCCGATGGAAAGGCTATACCCTACTGCATAGCTGCATGATGTCCGTCTTCGGAATTGGACTGGAACACTAAGTACGCGGGCGTCCCACACTTACAGCAAACTCTCCGAGAACTGGACGCCCAGACATATACATCCACAGCCGGGTGCCGCTCGTTCGACCTGGGAGACTCCAGTCGGGACGCGGACTTCACATGCTGTGTCTCCAGATCACGGGTACGCGCTGCTATAGGCTTCTGTCCACTGTCGTGGGCTATACTCATACACTAATACTCTCGTACAGTTGTTCATAACCATTCCAACAAGACACCGGCATCGTACCCAGACCTCTATAAAACGTAGCGGAACCATTTGTTGTCGTGTTCGGTGACATCGTTCTGCGGGACACACGTCAATCCTTGAGCACGACTCATAATGTGGAGGGGATCCTGCGTACCATCCCAGCATCCACAGCCAAACGCGACCGCTCCTCTTCAGGAAGCGCATAGCCTTCGGCCTCTGCAAGCGTATCCCTACGGCGGTTCTCGAAGAACATGTAGAGCCCCAGGATAACGTGGAGACCGCACTTCGCTGCGTATCTGGATATCGGGATGAGTCACGGAGTGGAAGGATAGAGCATGTGAGTGTCGTACCCTGCCATCATGGCCTTCGTTGCGGTTGGATAACCAGTATCAGCTTCAGAGTCGATGAGGACGTGCGGTCCTGCGATGTTCTGTAGGCCATCATATCAGTATGCACCAGCCATGATAATGCATCACGTATCGTACTCCTGCACAGTAGCCCTATCATAACCCAAGATCAGCGCTGGTAGATGCCTTGAAACCTCAGGTCGACTCACAATGAAGACGATCACAGCGGTGACCTGACGCTTCGTGAACCCGCCCACGTTCTGCCAGCCCTTCAGCGTCCGGATACAGACGAGGTGAAGCAATTTGACTCACGGCGGATACCATGACAAGCGAAAGCGAGAAGCCGACGGATTGGAACGACGTAAACCAGAACGCGACCAGTCGGCCCCACTTCTGCTCTTGCGGTCCATATGTGAGGACCGCGGCAGCAATAATGCAAATAGCGTTTCCAGTGAACTATGAGAGGAGCACACAACATGAGACCACAGTATACGAGGTTCAGGATGGCGAGCACACCATCATGATACAGCGCATGTTCTTGAAGCGGCCGGCGATGTACCCACTAATAACAAGCGAGGCGATCTGGAACAGACTGCTTGGAATGTCAAGCAGAATGGTCTCGTATAGACCGAACCCGAGGCCCTTGATGATGATCCTACGAAGCAGAAGCCCGTTCAGCAAGCATGTCATTGCGGAGAAGCCTACCAGTCTCACGTAGAAAAGTTCGAAACGACACCGTTCGGGATCTGCGCTGAGATAGACGCAAGAAAGAGGATCCAGGTCTTGGGGTCTGCGCATCAACTTGAGTGATACTAGCCGAAGAAGTAGGTGAGGAGCATCAGTGACCTTTGAGCGCCTGGATAAGCTGGTAGTGCTTGAACTTGTGGTTCTTGATCCCGGTCTGAACTCGCGCATTAGCTATGAAAGAGAGTATGCGGCGAGATCACAGCACGTACTCTGTTCTCAGCGACGCGCTGCACCGCGATGAGCTTCTGCCTCTTGTCAAGGAACTTCGCGCTGGGCGGTGCATCGGGCACGAAGAGGAATACGAAAGCTCCCCAGACAGTAGTGAACGCTCCAAGCGTCTACAGAGGCAAGACAGTCAGTGTCGTCGTCACAGTGATGGAGAAAGTTGAGAGAGCGCACCAGGAAGATCAACGCCCACTTGGGTACGGCTGAATGTGTAACATGTCCGAACCCGTACGCAAGAAGATCGCCGATGATGCCGCCAACGCCATTGAAGCAGTACTGGAAGCAATATTAGCATCTGAAGTGCACACCTCAACTTGGTCGTTTGAACGCACCCAAGACAAGTGTCGCAGCGGTTGCTCATTCAAGCGCCACCAGAAGGGCGTCATAAGCCCAAGTCCAGGTCTGTGAAATGGGATATCAATCAGGCGACACAGCCGTATGAGGGCGTGGACATACGTGATACAAGCTTCCAAGGCGCCCAGGATGATACGGTTGACCAGTGCTCCCCCAAACGAACGGCATGCGGCTGTTGACCTTCCGATGCACACTGTGAGCGAGAAGACCAAAGATAGTCCGAACGAGTACGCACATGACCACGATGCCCCAAATGAAGACGAACGAGCCCATGACTGTATCGGGTGTTAGGGCCAATATGATGAGACTGGAACGTGTAGGCGCACCTTTGCCAGTCGGGTAGCGTTGTAGTAGCCATGTTGCAGGTTCCGCGAAGACGAGATAGCCGATATAGAAAGCACTCGCGAACCAGCTGTATTGGCTTCCGGTGACGTGGAGATCACTGTCATCCAGTCAGTCTAAGTATACGCCGACAATCTGGGTAGGAAGAGGACGGACGCTTTGATCGAGAACAGGTTCGCGATGTTCAGCGCCGTCTTGTCGAGGAACGCGAGCCCCTGCGTAATGCAAAAGATGGGCAAGATGAAGAAGTCGATACGGCGCAACACGCGCCGCTCCTCCTTGGGCGTCCACTCCAACGATCCGTCGCGCGCCTGCTTGTATAGATCGTATCCGACCTCTGCTTCATGGTCCTCCGCAATGGCCTCTAGAACCGCGACGTGGTCCGAGCCCTTCTCGTCGAGGGACTTCTCATCGGTGGTCGCGGATTGCGCGACACTCTCCGGTTTGGCCATGCCGAGAGGCGAGGACAGTAAGTGCAGCCGGTAAGCCTGACGGAGGAGGGAGTCCGACAAGAAGTTCTGCGATACCAGTGCGCGCTCTTCTTATCGTCCGCAGAAGAGCTTCTTCGCGCGACTCGTGTTCAACAGAGCCCGATAAGATACCAGCTGCGTCCAGGTACTGCTAGGTACTCGTACGCTCGTATAGAGCTTGATGTGATGATCGACAGCATCCAGTGTTCCTCGTCGAAGAAACTCTCATATATCAAAAGCAGCCGAGGCGAGCTAGTGGAGTCGCAAGATATCGCCATTATGAGTGCGATAAAATAGCACCGTGTCGAAGAAGACGAACTTTCTTGACGTTGAGAGAATGTCGTCGCCGCTCAAGAGGAAGATGCAAGCATGTAGCCAGTGCTCGGGGAGAGATGGACCGCTAGGTCTGGAACTTAAATAATAAACCAAGACCTCGACCTGGGGTAAGTTACTGAGTTCGAACAGTGATGCGTCCGCTGCTTGATTGAATACCCGAAAGGGCCTGGCAGGGCATGACACCAAGAGTCTGATAAGGGATGCAGCTTTAGACGACTGTCTAATGTGACGTTTCGGAGAGCAGTAAGTATGGTGGGGGTTGGTAGAAAGCCGCGATGAACGCGAGGGAATCGAAGGAGGAAAGGTCAGTAGAAGTTGCGTACTACTGAGTATTTTAATGGCATTCATGTTAACATGCATTAATGGGGTAGTGGTAACCTGGGTCGTTGCCATCGACCCGCCGGGGGT